ATCCTTTTTTATGCATGTTGATTTTCATAGTCATTCTAATGACACAGAAGGGTCCATAAATAACTGGTTCTGTACTCCAGCACATTGCAATTAAAATGAATCAATTATGGGATTAAAGCACAAAAGGTCTGTTTTCTTTTGAGAGTACATACATATATTTTCAAGGTGGACCATGTCTGAAAAGAGCAGTGATAGATGTAAATACTCTTAAATTAAAGCTCTCGACATGCACTTCAACTTCATAGTCATTATTTTATTTTAAATCCAGTGTGCTGGATCTGACATGAAATCATATGTCAAAACAACAACTACTGTACTTACAGACAAAATACAGACTCTGCTTTGTTTAGTCAAAATCCTAATTTAAAATATGAAGAATAATAAAACACAGAATTATTAATAAAAAAAGTTAAATAATTAAAAAGACAATTTAAAGGGCACATACAATGGAAAACTGCATTTTCATCACTTTTTTTTGAAATAAAAGTTTTATATGGTATGTAAACATTGGCTAAATCTTAAATCGCTCACTACTCCCTATATAGTGTACTGCATAGGTCATGAAATTATGGCTTCTACACTGAAACAGTGCACTGAATGTTAGATAGGGAATGGTGGAGCTTATACCCGAATATAAGTGGCTTTATATAAGACATATACTGCACTATTTGGGTGTAGAATCAGTTATTGCATGACCTACATAGGGAGTAGGGAAACATTTGAAATTCAGTGATTGTTAAAGTTTCTAAATGTTAATTTCCTGATACATACAGCTCCAAATACAGCCCATTTTAATTCATTGTTTTTGTGATGTCAAACAAAACACCACATGTACATATATCCATCGATTCATCCTACAGCACTAAGTAAATAACGTTATAAGGAGTTTCAGCCTGGACAGGTTTTTGTAAGAAGCACAATCTATGGCTGTCAATCAGAGAAGAGCTCATTTACATATCTCAGACTTAAAGGCACATTACAAAAAACAGCCTGTTTTGCTCTAAAGCAGGGGGTGTCCAGTCTTATCCACAAAAAGCCGGTGTGGCTGCAGGTTTTTTCATTCCAGCAAAGCAGGAGATCACATGATCAGCAGTTTGAAGACAGACACTAGATTAAACAAGTGGAATCATGTGTGCTCCAGCTCGTTTTGAGCGAAAACCTGCAGCCACACCAGCTCTTTGAAGCTTGGACACCCCTGCTCTAAGGGGTAAAGAGAGGTTGGAACATGGACATGTAAAAATGAACATTTTTCTGCTACATAAAACCACACAAATTTCATAAATGAAAAAAAAACCTGTAAAATGCAGGATACGGGCCTTTAAATTCAAAATGTTTTGAAAATATTTCATACAATTACATGTTTGCATTTGTCTTTGAAACAAATCGCATGTGCATTTATCTATAAGTCCTTAGATCAAAATGCCTTTATCATTATGAAAAAAATGCATAATCAGTTTGTGAATATTGTGGTGTGTCCAAACCTTTGACTGGTAGTGTACGTCATTCATATTTTCAGTCACTTTATGAACTAGGCCACAATATAAACTTGGTATAAACATTTTAGATCAGCCGTGACCCCCTTGCATGGCTCTTATTGCTCTGTGTTGAGAGCAGCTGATGACAGGTTAGTAATAAGGTATGCATCTCAGGTTTCCTGGCGGTCTATGGCATATGTTGCTTTAGGTATACGATGCCTCATTGCAAGGACATAGTAAACACTTCAACAGTAGTTAGTTTCTTAGAAATATAACCGAAAATGAACATATCACATGCCATAGTGTCATAGTTCAAATATAACTAATAGATTCTCATTCTCATATATTAACTGCAATTTATTCTAAGCTGATCCATTGTCACAATATATTTACATATTATCAATTGAAGTTCACTTCTGAAACTCACTACCTTCTGAAAGTTTACAGAAGTGGTGTGCTGCAACCACAATCTTGTTTAACATACAGGAAGACAAGACCACCAACCAATCACATTGTGGATGAAAGCCCACTGTACTGGAAAAAAAACTCCCAAAATACCAATGTAACCATTGTTTAACCATTGAGACTAATTATGGCTATAGTTCTTGGTTGGTGAAGCATAACAGGGCAAAGAAAAACAGTTTCACACAGTGATGCATTTTCCTCAGATTACAATATTACCACAAATACACTAAGTAGGAAACAGCTGTGTGTGTATAACATTGTTTATTCAGTGCAGTAGAGCTCAACCCAACCTGGAGAATGTACAAAAATCGAGACAAAACTATTCCTCTTCTTATTCCTCTGACGTTGAACGTAATGAATCACAGTCCATTTTCTTATGAATGCGTTGATGTGGATGCCCTTAGCACTGCCTCATGTTCGGGTAGTGTGTTCTGTATAAAAGATGGCAATATGTGGGTGATTGCCTCTGGAATAAAGTCTTTGCTGGATTCCATGTGTAATAAACACAAATGAATATATCAACACCAAGGTAATTATCGTGATTGATTTATGTATGTCCCTTTAGTGGTATTTACGTCATTCATTGAAACCATCAAAGTGATAACATCGGTCTGGGCCTAGTTTTTCAAAAGTAGGTTAGTGTACTTTTCATGTGTACTATTATAGTGCTTTCAGAACACTGAGTACTTACGAATTTTATGAGGATTCTTGTGCAATAATACATATGCAAATGCAGCTCTTCACTGAACTTCACTCCAATCAGGAGTCATAGCAACTTGCCAGACAGTTTAGAGGACTGTAACAACAAAGACTTCTGAAAATAACATCCTTATTGAAATGTATGATATGCAGGCTAAACCTAGCTTGCTGTCTGTAAGCAACTTCAGAGCTAATTACAGCACGGCCTTAGCACTGTTTTGGCCAAGAGAGCTTTAATGATTAACCAGCCAGGCTATGTCTTATAAAATTGGCATTGGCTTCTGTTGATGTCAAATGTGACATCTCATGAACCAATGATAAAATATGACACTTTATAGATGATAAAACAGGGTGAAGGCAGCCTTATATGTAAAGAAAACTTGCCAGGTCTCACTTAGTGTAGTACAGAAGCAATAATAACCTCCTGCAGTCAGTGACATGACATCAATAATTCATAAATACATTGTGCTAATTTTGACCTGGTCATGTTGTTTGACTGACACCTTGAAAGCATGACATAGATATCAACTGACCGATCATTCTGATAAAACCTGTTTACTGGCTGCATCACTAATGCAAAACCATTTTCTACTGAATGACGTCTGTATCTGTTAACATCTGATTCTTCCTGTCAAAAGCACAGCACAAAGGAACTCATATGCAGCCATCTTTAGATAAGAGGCCATTGACCTTGCTCCTTTTCAGGTCAATAGGTCAAATGTACTGAGCTGGGTTGACAACGTACAGCCAAAATGGCAGGCTATTTTGTTTCAGTAAAGTGAAACATGACCCGCAGACCACCGACCCTGAACAGCCAGGCGGTGTTTCCGAGGACAAGCGGGTCAGGAGTCAGCCTGGACATGGTGTGCAAGTTGATTAGCCGGTAAAAGGCTAGAATTGGCCAGAGCTATAAATAGTACACTGAATGAGGTGAAAACATGCCACAGGGAGCTGTGTCCTTTTCCATCATCAGATAAGCACCACTGCTGGGTGATACCTCAAGATGACTATTGATCAAGACTGCATAATGATGTGAGCCATGCTGACATGCTACTGGTAATATACAACCTTAAAGACGAATAACTTTGGAGACCCAGACTTGTGATTAACCCCTGCACCTAATCTATACTACACAAGATCCCCAGTGGTCAGTTCATTCTGTTCATTTGTGTCTAGCTAGAATAACAGAATGACGGAGCGGTGGAAAAGATCCATGGCAATTTAGGCAAAATTCCCAGTTCTGAAATAAAGAAATAATTACACATTTTTCTCCTTACCCGAGACATGTTGCCAAGACATGTTTTTTGTCTTTGCGCTGGAGCTACAAAATAATGGAAGCTAAAAGCTGGTTAGCATCATGCAAACTGCATGCATAAAGACATTGTTAAGAGTTGTTAAGTAATCTCAAATAGGCTTGCTTATGTGCTTTCTCTGCCATATGCTTCTAGCTATAGAAGATTCAAGATTGCTGACACTTCTGTTTTTATCTCCTGACATTCTTTTGTCTGTTTTTATAGATAACAACACGTCATGCAGTGTTAGAAACCAAGTTCCTTAAACCAAGACTGACTGCATTTGCAAATTCAGGTTTAGCCGTGTGATATTGAATTACTGTGGTCTCATTTCCATCGTTCAGATATGAAAAACAATGTAAAGCTGCGTGTGTTCATTGTGCTGTTTCTCTTTTTGATATGATAGAAAAAAACCTTGCAGTAGAACGAGGACACTAAAAGAATGGCTGATGTCATTTATTGGCATAACAGGGATGTTCAAATGAGTTGCAGACCTATAGCTGATGAAAGCCATTCAGGATTTACAGTGGAGAGCTCCACAAAGGCATCTAAGAACAAATGTAAACATATGCAATGTCTATTGTTTGAACACATTTCCATTCTGGGTGCTTGTGGGTCACTGAACACATTCAACGAACTACAAACAATAGAGTAACATATGTAGTTTAACACACGTTAATAACATGCCCCTGGCCCTCAAATATCAGGTACACTGGCTTCAGAAATATCACAGACATTTCACTCAAGCTGTTTTATTACAGGTCTCAACAGTTCTGGGAATAAAGTCACATTTCCAAAACAGTTGCTGCAAACCCCAAAACACTATCATTTTTGCAATTTTGCATTTCGCCACCGCGATGCTCTGACATCCAAGACCTTTATCCTTTATTTCACAAGCAAAAGAAGAAGTCAATCTGCCACAAAACTGCAATACTTTGCAACATGTCATTGGATCAAAATGAATGTGTTCAAACACACTACTTTGATACAGATGCGGAAGTTAGAGACCACCATTCGTTTAATGAATTTCTAGTCAAAACAGCCAAAAAGTTATTTTTCTGGAGATTTTTCTGTGTAAATAAGACAAGATGATCGACATGCCTAAAGTAAGTCAATGGAAAATAAGTGAAAAAAACAGTAGTTTAAAAATCTGTAGTTTAAACAATGATACATAGACAATGTCAAATACACAGAGAAAATGGAATTATTAACAACCATGGAAAACCTGGTAGACCACCATAAGATAAACAGTTCTTGAAGCCTTCATCCTTGACAGATAGTAGAAAATCGAGCTCCAATTTTTTCTTCAGATCTGAAAAAATCTGCAGGTGTTTCTTTCCATCCTTCCACTGTGAAAAGACAACTCAACACTGAATCCGAAAGGATGTGTAGCTGTCAAGAAGCTGCTACTGAGAAAAGGAATTAGACAAAAAAGAAGAAAGCTGCTGGTGTTCTCAGAACAATGGACTGTGTTTGAGAATACCTGGATTGTGAGAAGCAGAAAACGCAACCAATTTCTGAGGCTGAAAGCAAGTATCCTGAAAAGAATGGAAGCTGTAGCACTGGCAAAGAGTGGACACAGTAAATACTAAAATTCTGATTTTATACTTAGTTGTTGAGGCTTCTGTGTAACTGTCTGTTAAATATATGTTTAGATACTTGTACTTGCGGCTGTTTTGACTGGAAATTAATTAAATGAACGGTGGTATCTGACTTGCACAATATTTGCATATTACATGTAGTGCCATTAACATAATAAAAGTAATTATTTGCCTCAGTGAAAGTTGGGTTTAATTTGCTTTAACAATGGAAACCATCACAGACAAGCCATATTATCTTTCTTCAGTTTGGAAAAATTATGATCACAGCTTTATACGTTCAGTTTCAGTGTACATAGTTTAAATTGCAGCCATCAGCTACAAATGCCAACACACAAGGTTAGTTCTCTGTATTCCATTTGCAAGTGTATGTAAAATAGTGATTGTACTTTTAATAACAATTACATGATTTTCAAGATAAATCTGTTTTGTCTGACACATTAAGAAATTACTCAAGTTTTGGTAAAATCCAGTCCCGTTACGGGGTTTGCAGCATAAACTGTTTTAGAAAAATGCAAAGAAAAGTTGTATCTAACCAGTCAGAAGTAATATTTCATGAAAAAAGTTATTAATTCATTAAAAAGTTAGAGCCCTGCCATGATGGTCTTGCATCATTTTTGGCCATTTTGTATTTGTTTTGAGCTTCACGGTGGCTTAAGCTACAAATAAATAAAGAAACATGCTTAAAACAAGTAATGAATCATCACAGTAGCAATAGTAAAGAAGGTTAAATCATTTTGGAGGGAGAAAACAGTATCATCTGCAAATTATCATCAACAACAGTATCAAACAAGGCATCCTGCATAACATTCAAACAGAGTAAGGTTTTACACCAACATTTTTCTAAGACAGGCATTGCTGACGGAATCTGTGTGTGCAGAAAAACCTGAGGCGCACAGTCCCTGAAGTTCACTTAGCAAAAGTGTGCCTACATACGCATTGTGTCTCTTCATAAGTTCACTTTTTAACACTAAGTTTGGTCATCTGAAGGCACTCCTCTTTCAGTGCCTCAATGTCATTTTTATAGGAATTTGTCTTGACCTCTCCGTAGAGGTCTGGTTTCTTGGTGGCCAGAGGTGTTTCCACGGTGATGGAACCTCCCATCAGTGTATCTGTGTTTTGACCGCGGTGGAAGAGGCCCATCAGGGCGGCCAGTGCGCGGCTCACGTCGTTACGGGCTCCTTCATTGACAAAGCAGTAGAGGATTGGATCTGCTACACAGTTGAGGCTGGTGAGAGCAAGTGCTACATGGTATGCGGCAAACAGTTTCTCCTCCACCCCACAGTCGCAGGGGTTACTGAAGATGAGCACACTGCGCCACAGCAGTAGCACATGGTAGGGCGCAAAGCACAGCAGCACAATTAGGATGAGGCTGAGGGCCAGCCTCTTGATCTTGGCCTTCTCCTGCCGTTCAGTGGAGACATTTCCACGCACTGCCTTCAGGATGCCTCGATACGCTGCGAACATACAGCACCAGGGAGCCAAGAAGCCCAAGAAGATTCGGTACAGGTTCATGCCTGCCACCCACTCCTGCATCGGATACTTCTCGAAGCAGAAGGTGCGGTTGAAACGGGCCTCAAAAAGCTCATCATGGAAGAGTGGGGCTGAGTTGGCCACCACTTCTATAACCCAGACCAAGACGCTTACCAAAATGGCTGTCTTGACGCGACGCACCTTGGCAAACTTGAGCGGATGGGCCACTGCCAAGTAGCGATCCACAGAAATGCAGCAGAGGAATGCGATGCTGACGTAGATGTTAGTGTAAAAGATGAAACCGAAGAGTTTGCAGGACCCTGGCCCATGGATCCAGTTATCATGCTGCAGAAAGTAGTCAATCCACAGTGGTAAAGTGGCTATGTACAGAAGATCAGCCACAGAGAGGTTGATCAAGTAGACGCCCAGCTCGTTTTTTTGCCTCACCTGTAAATAAGCGGCCCACAGGGCCATACAGTTGGTAGGGAAGCCAAGGATTATAACAATAATGTACAGCACTGGCTGGAAGAACTGGTCAATGTTTGAGTCAACATTGCAGGTGGTCAGTGTCACGTTACACATGATCTCTTCACTGTTTTTGAGACTTGATATAATGATCAAGAAATCAGTGAGCTCCCTGAAGTCATATGTCAGGCCATATTTTGGAAGAAAATTGAGTTTTGGTACAAAACAAAAACAGCACTACAATCCATACAGACAGGAAATTCCACAGGATGCATTCCTTGCTGTTTTCAGTGTATGACTGTGGCACAGAAAACACAGCCCATATCCATGCTGCTCAAGCATGGTGGGCTTAGGGCATCATATGTCTCTAGCACACTTCATGGCTGGTTCTTTAACCTTTCCACAAGAGATACGAAAGGTTGAAGCCAAAGCTAACTTACAGGTATTCCAGCATGCCCAGCCTCAATGTTGAAGCTTCTATTAATCCTTGAGAAAAATCACGAGTGATAAGTGGATAAAAGAGAGAAAGGGCCTGCTCCTTTAGCAGCATGTAGCAGCTGGGCTCCACAGCATGGTCTCCTCCCTCCCTGCTTTCACTGAACACTGGTCTCTGATTTATTTTGGTTGGCTCCATCAGCGATGTCCATCTGGAAAGTGGAAAAGAGATGTTAGATAATGTGAGTTATTCGCCAGGTTAAATATCCTTTTCCAGAATTTTTTCATCCTTTTACAATGCAGGACACTTATTAAATTGAAATGGTGAGCTTATTGTGACCACAATATAGAGAGGTTGGTGTTGATGAACTCAAATGTTCTAACATAATATTATGTCAAAACACACTGTCTGTTACAATACGTTCTGAGGGCACCAGCTTGATGGCACTGTAGCACCAGAAAGTGTGATGGGCATAACTTATAATGCATTTTCTTAAAAGAGAGTGAACATTTATTCTGGAGAAGAAAGTCAGATATACTAGACATGACAACTTACATTAATATATTAATAATTATTATAATATTAATAAGATTTATAAAATACACTATTAAAGGTTCCCTTGAAAAGGCTGAAAACCCAGCAAAACTGACCCAACAATAATTAATTGTTGTAGCAGTGCTGCGACAGGCAATTTTACAGTTATTGTGACTATAGTACTCTACAAAGGCTTCTCCTCCTCTGGTTCCTCAATATCAATGCCTAAAGCCACTGACTGCTGTCAAAGATAACATGAAGCATTTTTAAACTATATAAAGCTGTTAAAACTACCGTACGTGTCACGTAGCCATGTGGAGTGAAACCAAGCTCTATCTGCTTGGAACTGTTTGTATCTTCCCGGAGACATAGGCCCAAATGGCCAACGGCTGAGCAGAGGAGATAAAATGAAATGTTGGGTGTGCAGAATTAACGAATGGCTGTAAACAAGGCACACCAGAACCAGCTTCATCATCCTGTGTCTCTATACACGCTCACTTAGCCCTGAGACTGTTTCACTGGGACTATTCATTCATCACCCCAGCAAAAATAGCAGCACACACAGACTGGACTATTTCCCAAAAATCAATTAAAAGCTTACTTTTAAACTTCTCTGCCAAACAGAAGGATTAGTGATGATGACTGTTTATTCTTTTAATACCACTGTATATCATATTTTATCATGAGAGATTGTTAGTACTGATGAATCTGTCCACATACTATCTTTAAAACAATGAGACATTTCCAGAAAAGGTGACTATCTGGTGACTGTGCAGACTGTATTTAGGTTTGCGTATGATGATGAAGATTGGGAATTTCTGATTTGAATTAGGTCACCAACATGGAGATTCAGTGCACTGTCCAAAATTCCATTTCAAACTCTGACTTAAACTGTAGGAATGAATGTTCTGTCAGCTCAGAATGTGAGATGAATAAACATTGTATGATGCAACAGAATCCACCTGGGTTCATACAAGAACATTGAATGCAGAGTTTACATTGTCTGCACTGTTCACAAATCTCAACCGTTAGAAGTCAAAAGTTTATTTTAGTTCTGCTATGCCATTCAAATCAAATTACCTAATGACAGATTTCATTATGTAGTGAGATACACAATAAATTACATTTACACTCAGTTTATATTCTGTTTTGACATGGTCAAGCTTGCACTTCCAACTTATATCCAGTTTGTTTTGATGTCAAAAGGTTTTCTGCAAAACACAAATTAAAACCATAATATCTCCTCTTTCACTTTTAAACACAAATGTGGTTTTGATTGAAGGCGTAAAAGCTGTACTTCCTACAATTTCTCTGCCTGCTTCAATGAGCTATGAATGAAAACCCACATACACCACGTGCAGCTTTACATGGGCACAAATCTTATTATCAAAGGCTCAACAAGAGAAAACACACACATCACAAATAATGCCTGGTTTAGATTACAGCTTCAGGCTAGAGTCGTGTGCTAAAAACACTAGACCTAATCAGTAAACATTTTATCATCACAATCAGTAAAAAATAGCAAAACAAACAGGTTTGCCTGAATAGGCTTTGTGGCCACTGTGTGCTCCAGCGACATGCTATAGCTCACTGTGACTTTAATAAGCAGTTATGAGTCAGCTGCCACTTAAGCGGTGACAAACAGCACGCTTGCTTTTTGTGTTGAGAGACACTGAATAAACCTGAAGATCACTGACTACTATTGATCTCATTCACTGTATTCAAGCTTCACTTGACATTACCTCAGTCTACCTCATGTTGGCATGCTAGATCAACAGCAACATTTGGCTTAACTTAGGTAGAACTGAACATGAACTACGGTCTACTTCACTTTTGCTTCGATGGATTTTAAACTATACTGCATTTTCATTTTAGGGAGCCAAAACAAAATCCAGAGTGGAAAATCTTTGATACGATCACAGTTTGCATTACCAGGAGAGAAGATCGTCTGAGACTGTCAAAACCAAAAGCTGCTAAAAAGCTGTCTGGTCCTGATCACTTCAGTGAAAGATCAAGATAAAGATCAAGGTTTTCAGGAGGTGGATCATGTGACACACATGCTTCCAAGTGAGAAAAGTATATGAGTGATTAAATACATCTGTACAGAGTCACCAATGTCCAGCATCACATTTGATCTTGGTTGCAGATCTTATGTGCAAATTAAGTCTGCATCTGTATCTATACTTAATGAGTTCCTTTAAATGGATGCAAAATAATATAAAGCAATCAAAAGTACTCCTGTTCTCAAGCACTGCATATTGTTTCACTGTATCACGTTAGGACACCTACACTGTTATACCCATATACCTATTATTTGTCTCGGATTCAAGAGTCCTAAAATCTAAAGAACTAGTACGTGACCTTGGTGTACTAATGGATCTTAGTTTTAGCAGTCATGTCAAAGCAGTTACTTAATCAGCTTATTATCACCTTAAAACATCAACAAGATTAGAGATTTTCTGACTAAACCAGACCTGGAGAAACTCATCCATGCCTTTATTTTTAGCAGGATCGATTACTGTAATGGTCTCTTAACTGGACTCCCAATACAGACAATCAAACAGGTTCAACATGATTCAAAATGCAGCTGCCAGTTCTCACTAGGAGTAAAAGAAGGGAACACATCACCCCATTATTAAATCCTTACACTGGCTACCAGTCTGTTACAGAATAGACTTCAAGATACTATTACTGGTCTATAAATGACTCAATGGTGCAGGACCAGCATATTTATTTCATATGTTGCAGTGATATGAGTTAAGCAGAACTCTCAGATCGTTAGGTACTAATCAGTTAGTCCTGCTGAAGGTAAAGACTAAACATGGAGAAACAGCGTTCAGCTACTATGCTGCTCTTAAATGGAACCAGTTGACAGAGAGCATTAGAAAAGCCCAACCCTGGACACTTTTAAATGCAGGCTCAAAACGTTCCTATGTGAGCAGCGTTCAGCTCAGTTTAAACACTGTTAGTGTTTCTATGTCCTTTTCCTCTGTAATGGCCCTTTTTTTATCCTAATCAAACGTTTACTTTTTAATTTGATTTTTTGACTATCCTAATTTAATTTCTGATTTGATTTTTAATTTAATGATTTTCTGTTTTAAATCTATTGTTTTAATCATGTTTTCTATTCTTATTTACTTTATTTTTTTAACAACTGTATTTTCTCACCTGTAAAGCACTTAGAATGACAGCAGTGTATGAAAGGTGCTTTATAAATAAACTTGCCTTGCCTATATATCCTATGTCTAGCCTTATATAGAATGGAGTTTCTGCAGTCCTCATTGAAAAATCATGAATTCTTTGTTTTGTGCAGTCACTGAAGACCATTTGAACGTACACAGACATCAACATTAAAGTTATTATTCTAAGTCTTCTTTTTACCAAGCAGATTAGAGTCAGTGTTGAATTTTAACTTATCTACTCTATTTTGTGTCCAGTGGAGGAATTCCATGAACTTCTCTACCACAGTAAAAAGAGTGTGTGAAAACACCTCAGCACTGGAGAGATCACGGATGTCAACAGCTGGGAAGTGTAATATCAAAGAAGGCAAAAGGAAACTTATTCACCACTAGTGTACCAGGGCAGAGGATGCAGACAGGAAGGCCATGCATCTTGATACTATAAACAGGAAATTTTACATTTTAAACAAAATGGCACTTCCATTTAAAAGAATAAGTTTAACAATGGTCAAATGACTGTATTCTCTGTAGGATATGTGAAGTTCAGAGTGAACAAACTATGTTATAGGCCTGCTTACTAAAATCGAAAAAACTAAAATTTTTTACTAGCCCACACACCTACAGCAGTGTTTCCTAGCCCAGTCCTTGGGGACCTTCAGATAGTCCACATGTTCAGTGTTATTTATTGTTCAGATGTACTGACAGCAGAGATAGGATTACACAAAATCCTTACAGGAAAGTCTGTCACTCGGCAGCCCTCTTGGCAACACCCCCAGGGCAGTTATTTCCAGTCATAAAGCAGGCTCCTATCTCTTTAAACATGGAGTTACCTGTAAACTGAAAACAGAAGGCCACATATCGCTACAATGAGGGAGGAATTTTCCTGCTTGAAACTTTACCAGAAGGCTGATTGGGTCTTTTTACTGAAAGGCGGGACTTTCTCTGTAAACAGACGGCATGTTAAGCTTTACAAGCTTTCCTATTCAGTTTTCAACCAATGAACTGTCTTGTCCTCCTTTAATATTGCTAGACATGGCTTTGATTTTCTGCTCCCCATCACATACATCTGAGATGAAATTATATGTGCTATTTCAACATTTTATGATACTATTTTACAAGCAGAAAAATCACATTCAAATCACAACGTCTGCTCCTGCATGATCCAAAGTCTAAAATCATAGCGAGTAACTAAATAAACAGTGAGTAACTTAAAACAATGGGAACATATTGGACACATTCATAATACATGTTATTCACATAGGAATTTAATGAACAGAGGAAGCTGCCGAACACATAATCCAGGAACTGTGATTCAGTCCAAAACAATAGAGCCAAGAGTATGAAATACTAAGAAAGAAACTGATCAGCTTGGGATTCATTCTTCCTCATGCGTCAGCAGAAGAACTGAGAAACCTCAAGGAAGGAAACTTGCTAATATCCTCAGAAGGAACGTTTTTACCTAGTACCTTATTCCAGGAATCAACTTCTATACAGAGAC